GCATGATGTTTTGGCATGCAGTTCAAACCTGCACAACGTAAACTGCTACTGCAACAGTGACCAGGCTTGAACTGCAATCGCATGCTTGTGGATTAGCCGACTAAGGTAGTGGACAAATGTGTCCACCTGGACAAATGTACCAGCCCCAGTGATCTAGCCAAATGTGATGTATTTATCCGGATGGGGAATATACAGCGGCATNACCTTCATTGCCTGTGGTGCAGACGTGATATTGGCTTTTCTGTCAACCGTTGAGTTTACGACGCTATGGTGCGCTGCATATTGTTTTACTTGTCAGAAACCTGGCCGCTGTTTGCCTGATGTATGAAAATTTTTCTGTGTTTGACAATCATTGTATTCGGACCATTGGCTGAGCCTGGTGAGAACACCGGATTAAAAATGCTGGAGTAAGTTAAATGGTTTTCCGAAAAAAATTGAGCGTTTGCAATAGATGAATTGATCACTTTCTGTAATTTCTGCTCCTTTGGTGACGTTCTCAGTATGCCAGTCGACCAACTTCCTCGAAGGATCCATTTGCGCAACCACACAAGAAGGGTGCAACGAGCCAGGGGGTCAAACCATGACTGGGCAGCGAAATACGAAAGTCATCATCAGCAAGCCTAGCAGCAGTGGTCATTGCCGTCAAACTGGATGGGGATCATTAGATGGATTACGTCAACAGTCACAGGCGTCAGACAAGGTCCAGTAGCGCTCTCAGTCGCTCTCCCAGCCGTTGCCTTCCCTCCCACTTACTCAAAACGAAAGGTTCACTGATACCATTGCATTTACGCATCATTTATATTAGCTGCCACCTGAATTATGTAGCTTTCCATCTAGCCTTCCTCAGGGTTGTATGGTATTTAGGCAACAATAAGCAATACTGGCGCATCACTATCCACAAGGTTGATGATGAAGCTTTCTGTCTTCCCAGGTCGTCTTTACATCCATTCTGCCCATTTAGGAGAGTTCTGTGCACATTCCACTCACGGTTATTGGGTGGAGGCCAATTAACGTCATTTGCGAGCCGGAAGATGATGGTTTCACCATTATTTATACGTGTTTTCATTTGAAGCATTCCGTCAGCGTTAAAATATGGAACTTGCGAAAATTGCCAGTGTAACCTATACTTTCCCACCTTACAAAACTGCCCGGATTACTTCAGCGAACTAGTACTTCACGGTGTTTCCCACTGATTTCAGCTTTGTTTTCTAGTAGTTAAGATGCACGTAGGGACTTTATGACCATCGGTGAACGATTCATCTAGGTACTCCGACGCTTTTGGGTCGTTGCGACGCCACCCATGAGAAACATCCAGCTGTTTCAAAAACTGAGCAAAGAATTCCACGTGTTGATTAGTTTCGTTAAAAGCCGAAGTGCCTATTGGATGCCGGTTTACTTTAACATTAATAGGGAATAGTAAAATAGTCTGTAGTTGTCATTAGCGGATCAACCGCAGAAGAAATTCAAGAGAAATATGCTTCGCACTCACCATATTTTTGAAGAATTCCAGGAAGAGGCGAAAACCACTGGGTAGCTTTGTAATTTCAAAAATTTGTTGTGAATACCCACAGGAGTCTCCAAAATGTCTGACCTCCTAGGTCTGGAATAGTTAAACGAACAGCATTAATCTTTCCGAACAGAAAGAACAATCGCCTGGGGCGTCAGGTAATAAACTTTGGCTAGTGGGAGCGATGCATCAGAGGCTGACGTGCTTGTTCACTTATCAGTATTACCTAAGTTGATTGATCCTCGAGAAAGGGCGATGCTTCGAACACAACTACATTAGTGAGTTTGCCTTTTTCAGTTGACGGAAGCGAGGATATGGGTGTCGAACGACCGCCAAAGAATAAAATAACTCGGCTGAAAAATTCGAGAAGAAAGAAAACTCAGGATAAGTTTGGAGTTGTGTATGCTGAACCAGGAAGATTACTTGATTGTAATGTAAAGTTGTGGGTTCTGTCCACCAACCCTTCGGTCCGTAAGCTAGTGCCTTGATCACTGAGCTATCTCGACACGGCATATATATATATATATATATATATATATTGTGTATAGCCAGAATAAAGTTTTCGGAACAGCGAATCGCTTTTTGTTAGAACATTTTTTCGATCTGCCTAAGAGCTTACTACATAATTTGAAAACATATCACCCCTATTCTAGTGTTTTTCCGGAAGTGCGCATATCATTTAGTAAAAACAGCGTTATTGTGCGAGGTATAGTAAAGAACTCCTCTATCTTTCAGAGTGTTAACAGATTATTCATATGCCTAGGGGCGAATCAGCGTTTTGAAAGAATCATATAGTCCACCAAGTGACTTTCATTGTACCGACAAGGATAGTACTCAAGTAATTGGCTGAACTGTGATGTCACCTTGACAAGTGTGACCCGCATGTGACTTGACGTTGTTCCGACAAAAAGCAATATTACAAGCACTTATTCCCAAAAGCAGCGCTGTATGGGAATGGTCGCTACTTTCAGGTCCCAACTAACCTACAAAGTGGTCCCAGAAAACTGGAAGATTGGTAGCTATTTGAGAAAATTCCAGCGGTTAAGTAGCTTAGTTCACCTTGTCCAGCTATCTGTAAATATAATTGCAGTAGTTTCAAAATTCAGTTTTGCCACGAAATGCGTAAATTTTCCTAACTCTTTCAGTCGGACGGAGTAAAACATTCCATAAATCTCGCGCAAACTAAAAATAAACGGATTTTTCGTTCCTGAAAATTGAAAACACATTGAAACCAATTTGTTTGATTTTAATCTCTACTGTATTCCTTTCAACATGGGTTTACTCTAACATATTGCTTACTTCATCCTGCGTTAACCCGCGCCAGAAAGTGTCAATCATTTTACATCAGGACTGTATGTTTTTCAACGAATTGCCACAACGCTGTCCTGGTATCTTGCTGACGTATTCAGTCAAGCCAAAATCTCGGCATTTTTATCCCCAATTTTCGGATGTCAAAATGGATAACTTTGTCGCGCTTTATCGCGCTCAGGATGAACATTCGCAAAGTTCCTATTACGGATTCAATGATTCAAAGGAATCTCATGCCGATGTGTCATGCACATTTTGAGGTTCGCACAACACGTCGTTTGGATTAGTCGAAAAGAACACGTTATTCGGAACGATGGTGTAAACTCAAACCCATTTAGGCATAAGCGGTAAGAAAATTGCTTCAGTCTGTTTCAGTCCAGCGTCAAGTAAGTGTTTCGAAATATCTTGCCCAAAAAAGCAATGCAAAACGCTTGGCCAACAGCATCATGGAAAAGGATTCAGCTAACGACTCCAAAGTTAAACAATCAAGAGACTATATTTTGGATTACAATTTTGAATTTTTTCTGGTCTGTATTGTTTGTGATTAGCGTCGCTCAATTCTAGAGTTTCTCGGGATATCAAATAATAATCACTCTTTGTTTTCCCTTGTGATCCGGAGACAGGTTCAGTGTCAGATTCTGCAGTTTCTTGCGTCACAATGGTCGTGCATATCAATTGGAACAAGTAAGAAATTGCAAACTACAACAACAGTTTGCTGGTTCGAACTGTGTTCTTGAGATCAACTTGCTTGCTACCCCCGAAAATGCCTGCAGCAGTAACGTGTCGCGCAAAGCATTGCAAAGGGGGCAAGGTTACAAAAATACCAATGTTAATTTATAACAATTCGTTCACGTGGAAGTTGACTGGAAAAAATAACACAAAAACCTTGAATTTAAGGTAAATAGATCACTCGTCTTTCTGTCTCTCCTAAAGTCCAAAAGTATTTTTGAGGCCGCATTGCACGTGGTCTGCAATATTATTCCCTAATTATTGCATACCTCTTGACAACAATGTCGGGTTTATAAAACAAGTTTAATTTATTAACTTGTTCTCTTATTAGATCATGATTTTTAACTCCAGGTACAAGATCTTCAGAATGTCAAGATGGCCGGGTGTGTTACCGTACATAATCACTGTTTGTTTAACATTGAGCTCAAATCCTTAACATCTGGAACTAAATTACACATAATCTACCGTTTATGTCTGAAAATGTTCGTTAAACTGATGAGTGACAACAAAAACAGGAAAAAACTGTTGAGTTAAACCCCTTTCGAAGTTTTGGTCACCATATCATGTTGGCGTTAGTCTGGATTGTCATAGTCGGAGTTTTTCGAACTGATTCCTCGCTCATTTTCATACATACGGTGTATGTGCCGTCTGATGTGACATGACGTGTGATATGATATCGTATGAAACAATGCGGCGCATCGTTCGGTCTATCTAATACTTTCATGGTGATCTTTTGTCCCCCCTGAGTTCCAAGTGTGGAAAACAGTAATTGTGTTAACTCATACATATTTCATACTTTGTATCTATTTACTAATTACCCAGAGGTACTTTAAAAGTTGCAGCCCGTTTCCGCAATCATCTGTCTCCAGGGTACCTAAAGAGCTTGTATAAAATGCTCACCGTACAACTTTCCAAAGAACCTTCCATAAACCAAAGCCGATACGCAGCTGGACCACAAAGAGAAAAAAAGTGAAAATTCCGTAGTCTAGCACAAAAATGTCAACCGGGACAGCCCGAAATAATTTGGCTTTGCAGCGTTTACAAGCCACTTCCTTTATGTCGCTAATTTTAGAGTGAACGCAGTTGATCACTTTCCCGGAGATGTTTGGAATGTTTCTGACCAAATAGTAAGTATGTGAAATAAAACCTGTAATAATCTCCTCCAAGTTCTTCTCCCTAGTAGGAAGAGCTAGTCTGAGAAGCGAATCGGTTGAGAAAACGAGTTGAATAATAATCAGTGATATTTAATTTAGAATGCTAGAATGCTTCCGATTGGTATTTGAGGAAGCAACAACTCAACTGCTGGATAGTTCTCCGTTCTGAGATCTTACTCCAGAATTATCCGTGACATCATCATAAAATACCATATGATGCTAGATTTCCGACGTGGTGTCACGCGTTCTGACACAAGAAATTGAGGATAGTATGTATTCGTGATGCCTTCTGATTTACCTCTTCAGCTCTCAAGATGATCATCAACAATGCGTCGAGCAATTACAACTTCTGCCTGCACAACACGAAATTTTGAAAGTTCCCTTAGTGAACTAATATATCTCCAGCGAATTGGATGTACGGTGAAATATGAAGTATGGTCACCACGATTGGTAAATCGGAAAGTCTGCAATTGTGGTCGGGCATAAATTTGTATACCTGTATCAGGCACTCGAATCTGTAAGAGGGAAAATGCATACGATCTGCGACCTATTCCTGGACTATTTTCTTTGAGCATTCGATAGGTTATCTCCCCAAGAGAATCGTGGTCAGTCGTACGATCAGCACTTTGGGTCACTGTGTTGGGCATTTCATGTAGGACTGCTGTGGAGCCGTGCACTCCTGCCGCATTAGGAGGCATTGGCAGTTGATAAGGATGATGTCGAATGCTTGATCCGTGATGCCAGCGTCTCCTTCGACTACTTTGTTGGCCAACTGTAGGCAGCAAACCAGCACTATCCGCGAAAGACCTTAGTAATGGATTCGCTGAATTTCCCAAACCAGAGGCATCGGCACAGTCAGGTGTGACATCTGTGCTCACCTGATCAGACGTAACACTCAATTGGTCCTCAGGTTGTGGTTGCTGCCCCGGTTGTTCGCCTGGAATACTCATGCTTATCTCAGCCGTCCATCTTGATTGGTTGACATGAAAGTGGTCGCTTCGATAAAGTAAAGTGCTTTCGCCACTAGTGACGTTGGCTAGGGTAATTGTGACCATCTGCAGTTCGTGTGACTCCAAGTGTCTCAGCATATTAGAAAAGCAGTGAAAAGTTTCACGCATTGTTTGCTCCCGCTTTTTGAATCGGCTGAGTAGCCACTCCAAATTCTCTCCAACCGGCTGTTCAGTTAATTGCTTCCGCGTGTTACATTCATGATAGTGTGAATCGTATTCATCAGCACACCCCGTCCAGTCACATCCTAGAGCAGATAGACCACAGGCAACCCTTCGTTTAGGGCAAGCATTCAAGCGGTGGCTGGGTAATGATTTGTGCAACATGGACGTATTGCAATCTGTGCAGAGGTCCGGTAATTCCGAAAGCACTTTTTGGGCAACAAGGGCACGCCTGCTATCAGAATAGAGACTGGCGCGACATGTTGGACACTGCGGGCGTTCATCCTGGCGCAGCGTTAGAAAGCAGTTTTGGCAAATCAAGTGCCCATTGGTGCATTCCTTCATTATGGTGTCACTGGAATAACAGGCGCAACATGAAATTACCTCCCTAATGGATCGCAGGATACGAACATACTTCGTATCTTCCTGATCCGTAGGAGAAAAGACCTCTACTGTATTATTGGCAGTCTCTATTCCACCTTCACTCAGATTGTTTGGTGCCACATTCACAAAGTAGTTCATTGCGTTGCTGTCTGTTGTATCAACCGGTAATGATGATGAACAGACGTTTTGATCCAAAGAAATTTCAGATGAATTTTGATTAATTTCGTTGGGAATTATTCTGCACCCTTCTATGTAAACTCTTGAACTGGGGGATTGCCGGACAGAGGAATGTGGATACGGTCTTCTGATTCTGCGCATCTGAACAGCTGATTGTCTACGAGAACTTTCACACCTTTGCTGGGATGCTTTAAACAATTGATCGATGTTGACTATTGATCTTGACTAGAGGATTTTGTGGGCTGAATCTCAGCTGTACAAAGAAATAGCAGCACTGGGCGCAAAGTATAAAGTCTATGGTATAAAGGTTACAACTACTGCGCCTTGACCTCATAACGACAACAAGACTAAGGGGAATGCCACAGATGTGTGGCTTTGACTGGTGAGATGGAAAGCGGACAAGAGGACAAGAATTCTGAGCCATCTATTTTGTTGTTAATCAAGATGTCCACATAAAATGATGTCAAAAGAGTAGGATTTGGGGCTAGTTTTCATTTGACCCTGTAATTAACTTTTCAGTAGTTAGAACCACCGTTTGGATGTGCGTAGACTTTACCATTCTGGTAATTTACAAAAATTGAATCAAAGGTTCTGATTCAGCCGAATTGAGATTTAAATTTCTTAAAGCACCAAAGCGAAACCCTTATACTTAACATTCTACTAACGTGGTGGACATAAATGGCCACCCTATGGTGACTGTCCTAAACCAGAGTGAGTACCATTTACTGATTGAATCTAAATTCACATTTTGGTAAATCCTCAATGGTCCGCTTACTTCGCCCATTTACTTTTGATTTCCGCTAGTTTTTCTAATTCTCACCTGCTATTCGCTTTGCAGGGCCTCCCTGTCATACACTGCCACATTAGCATGTGCGTGAATGTGCGAAGAATGGTCGTGCTCCAGATGCTGCCCCTGCCTGACCTGTTCTGTCATGAATTCTTTGTGATCATATCGCCAGTCAGGATCACGAGACTGGCCTCGGAAGGTACAACCTAGCCGAAAGTCCACCCAAACTACCTGGTTTACGGACATCGGTACTGTACTGCGCCGGTCAGTGACAGACTTGCGCACTAGTTGACCACCCAAACGTGGACATTTGAAGTTGTTGAGTAATGTGCTCATGTGAAAGCTGAATTTTGAAAAACAGCGATGGTGTACTGGGAACTCTGTCAATCGTAGTAACTAGCATGTGAACCAAAAAGGAGTGGAGCATTATCGTCCTCACAAACACATCAGGTAATCGGTGCAGGACATGTGTGCCAACGCACTTCCTGGTTCGTGTCATTCAAACATGTCAGTCACGCAGATCCTGACCTCAAACCAAACAACATCGAACAGCGCCGAACTCGAATTACAATAATGCTATTAAGCTTGTTTGTTTTTTTATTGTCGCTGCGGCAGCTTGTCAGTAAAGCTGATCCTCGACCACCAAATTTTAGGATTAAACCGCTCAATTCTAAGTTACTGTGGTTATTGCAAATTGCCTCCAGAAACTCACCACTGCTGATATGGTATCCAAGCCCTTACAAATATTCCAAATCCACCATGACCCGGATACAAGTATAGCTGAATCACATTCATTTGCAAACAAACATGTTTTTGCAGGAGACTCACCTGAAACCCAGTTGAATCTCTCGATTATGATGACTTCAAACAACTCACTGTGCTGCACTAGGCTGTCTGATCTTTCGGTTGTTACGATATTCGAGGTGTCACGACACATGTTTAGACGAAATACGCTACTGATACGGCTTCTGAGAATTCTTCGGCAGCCGACTACCGGTTTTGCCCTTCTTTCCATCATCACGCTGGCGCAGTCTCCGGATTTCGGTCAACATTATGTCCTCCTTGAAACCAAATTGCACAAAATTAGCGAAATACGCTCATTTGCAAACAAATTTGGTTTTGCGAGAGACCCACTTGGAAGACAGCTGAATCTCACGCTTATGATGAACCACAATTTGACAAAAACCAGTCGTGGGCTGTCGAAGAATTTTGAGTAGTGTAGAAGATCTACTACTTAAATTAGCCAACAGAGGGCTCGTCTGATGAGCTGCTGATAACTCCAGAATATTGCATCGCGTCACCAAAGATAAACACAAGTTTCATTTCATCATGAAAAAGACCCTTAAGGTAATATTTGTTTCTCCTACGAAGCCTCCAGAAGGTCATTCGCAGTTAACAGAACAGAACGAATAATTACAGAGCAAGACAGGCAGAATGTCCAAAAGACTGTGGAGAAATGTCTACAGAATATTTAAGACGGGCGATAATCACTCTTTTCAACTTTTCTAATTGAAGTCCTTACAGAATGAATTTGTTGGTTTTCAGGAAAAGTTTGGTAACAACCTATAGATTTATTGCTGAGCAACGCTTCGTTTTTGATACAAAAGCTTCGTCAGGCCAAGTGACTGGGTAACAATGCCGGTCGAGATTCAAGTCGGAAGGAGAACCAGTCAGCAAGTCAAGCTGAATGTGTATTAGATATCGGCCAAGGGATGTGTGTTAAGATGGGTCACCAAGTCTTAGGCCGACTGGGAAGCCTACATGGATTTGGGTCCACCTGAGGGTAGACTTCTTCCGGTTCGGTTCATCTGATGACCCCTTTTGAATATCGTTCGCACGTTTCGTCTGTCTAGGTGGATGATATAGTGCTACGATGGTTGTGTAACGAAGAGGGATTCCGTGAACTCTGGTCGGGTCGGGATTTACACTACCCCCTGTTTATGTTAATGATTCTACATGCGTTGACATCCACACAGTCAGGTGTCAACTCGGCTTATCTAAGACCGCTTTCCCCACGCTCCCCCGCTCCACATCCTTGATTCTATGCTTGGTAATTTCCACCGTCTCGACCATCAGCCGCTGTGGTGCAAATCGCAGTGCCCCCCTAACACACATTATGACCTATACCTTCGGCTGCATTATCATGTTGAGCCAATTTAGTCAGCGATTTTTCTGGAGAAGGCTGCAGCAGTTGTGAACCTGACGGAATCTGCTGAATTCATTTTACTGCGTTCACTGAATACCTAGTCGTAGGGATGCGAGATGCACTTCACTGGAAAAAGACATGTGGCACTAAA